GAATCTGTCCCCTACTTGTGTACTCTGGCCGACTACAATTGTGTAAACATGGCTGCATTTCTTTTATTTATATAAAAAAAATGTTTGTTTCGCCTTCATGAAATGCATGTATTTGTTACCTTTATCTAGGTTTCGGTTGTCGCCTTTGAGTCAAACGCTGCAATTGTTGGAGTATCAGAACGTTCGTGTCTCAGCCTTGAATTAGCATTGGCAACGCCGCTAAACCAGAAATATCTCAAGAGAAAGATAAACAGTCTGACAACAGGGATTGCTACAAACTATGAAGCGGCACTGACAAAAGCGTTTGATGTTTTTGAATCGTCTTATAATATCTTAAACGGTACGTACATAGAGGTATACTATTTCAATTCATTTCATTCACACCTCACATTGAGTTTCATGGCATGGCTATGTTCAGCACGGATATATGTATATAATAATAAGAATGCTTCTTTCATTGAATCTTTCATTTGTTTTTACTGGATGGCTAGAAATAGTGTTCCTCTTTTGAAACATTCAACAAGTCAGATAAATACGGCATATGACAATGATAAATAAAACAAAATTTGTCACGACTTATGTTTGCATTTAAAAGACAACTATTTCCTATATGCAGAATTCCAAGATATACTTTTTTAACTATTTTGTAATTGATCACTAAAACTCATATAATGGGTACCACATGTGGTGCCGCACCAACACTTACCCTTCCTAAGAAGCTGACATGTTTGTGAGGTGGCTTATAGTGTTGCTCATATCCGTCTCGTCGCGATCCAATGTAAACACTCTAGCAACTTCATTCTTTGACATATTTTGATCAAACTTTATCCAAAGGTCCAGTATGAGAATATTGTTGATATATCTATGTGGAGGGTTCCAAGATCAAGGTCAAGGTCAATGTTGCTGTATATAAAAAAATCATCAACTGATTAGTTGTGCTCACTGTAGCTTCTCTATTTCTAAACAGATTTTGATCAAAGTGTATACAAATTTTAGGAATGAGAATGCCTTGGATAAGTTTATGTTTCAAATGTCACTGTATGTTGGTATTCATAGAAAAAAAATCTCTGTATTTCTTCATTTATCACCTTGGAATATGATTATACCTTGAATGTTACATATTTCAGGGTGTCAAAATTAAAGTTGTACCTATTTATAGAAAATTATCAATCACCGAAACGTAAGTCTTACGGTCATTTTCTTGTTTCTATTTTTATTTCCACAAATTTGAATTGTTTTGTTTTCAGAACAGGTAATACTGTTTCTAACAGATGGGAAAAGAACGGCTGGTGGTGATCCACTAACAACGATAGCACAAAGAAATCAAAAACTCGGGAACAGAGTTATGATCTTTACCTACGCTCTTGGGAATTGTAAGTTGTAATCGCTGTAAATCAAAACCTTCATGGATTCCCATCTTTTCACCACTAGTATAATTTCTGTGTACAGATATATATAAACCATTTACTGTCCAGTTACAAACCAAACGGTGAATTGTCTTCAGGTTATAGACTGTTATAATGGAGAGAGAAACAATCAATTTTCTGAGCAATGCTCCCTTATGTTGTTCTGAAGTTGTAAAATCTTACTTCTTTTCACAATGTTAGAGTATGTATAGCGGAGGGTAGATCAAAATAGGGTACTACTATAACAGGCAAATACGCAATGCCATCATTAACAACATATCATAGTAAAGGGATAAGTTATCCATTTAACATGTCTTAATCATTTACAGCTTTTGATGCGACGGACAAAACGTTGTTAGAAAATATGGCTGCTCAAACTCAAACGAATCCTTCATTTGGAGTAATCAAGGTTTGTGGTTTATATCTGATATTTATAACATTACACTTTAAGCTTTACACACATGTTGAGGTACTTTCTATTTGTAAATAAATCGTAAAAGTAACTGGATATATTAAACAACTATTCGTTCTATTTCAAGTGCTTTAATATATATATTACTTAGTTCTACATTGGGTAGTATGCATAAGGTTGAGTTTCTGCATTATTTGCTTTCTTATATTCTATCGGAAGTTGTAGAATTTGGTTATTAGAGCAGAGGTTTCCCAAGGTCATAGCTGTCAATCCTCCCTCATTAGGAGGAAGAGTCCCTCATGTTGACCAGAATTTACCCATATCCCTTCGTAACACCATTATCGAAGTACATACTTGCACAAACTCAAACTCTACTTCCTGTGGTCTAATGATCCCCTAGTTACTGCAGTGTGTGGGAAATTATCATAACAGGTTTGTCTGAATCAGATTCATAAAAAGGGAAAGATAAATTGAACAAAGCAGTGTCAATCACATTTCACTCATTTCTCCTTCATTGGAAATATGGAATAAGGGAGATTTCTCCCTCATTAGCGGTTTCAATGTTGACATCTATGCTAGATACTGAGGCCAAAATCTATTCAAAGGGTAAACGTTCAATAGCCTAGATTACCACTTAATGAAAGACTTGTTTTCTCTTTTCTTTAACTAAAAACAATAGGTAAAATCGACAATAAAATTCCGAATGCAACAAATATTTGTTAGATGATATATGAATTAAGCAAGAACATATTTGAAAAAATCTGAAAAAGGTGTTGGGTACTTGATGCACACTCTAATATTAAATCAGTCTGCAAATGCTTTTCATGCAGTGTAAATTTAATGACGTCAGGTATCACATTTCAGAATGTCAGCCGACCTGGTACTAAACACTTAGAACTCAAACGATTTAGAACAAAAATAGAACAGGTAATTCCCAAATTTGAAATCATCAGCGAAGCGAAAGGAAGACAGGATTTCTTTAATTTCATGTTGTAAATTTTACCCGGTTAATTTTGCATACGTAGATGTGCAGACACCTTTATCTCATGTTTAGCACTCATAAAGAATACCAACTCTTTACATGGCTGCACACATTAAATTCTTGTTCAAAAACGTATATTGCTAAATCTCAACAAGGAGTTGTTTGCATAAACGCATTGCAGACAGTTTCCAATACTCATTATCTTATTTGCTAACGTTCTGATATATGATATTATCCCTTGTCATAAGTGGTGTCATTTGTCGCCAGCTACGGCGTTCAACATGTAAGCCATTGGAAATCCCAGCTAAGAGTAAGAAGGAAAAACTCTGACATTGAGTGTTAAATGTAAACGGGCTTTGAATTTCTTTATCCCCATACCTCCATAAAATTATCTCCATTTAACATTTCAAATGGTGTTTTTTTAAGTATTGCAAGCTCACTTAAACTTTATTTTACGGTTTATACAGGGAGGCGAGTACAAGCAGATTATAGATCCTAGTCTCCTAAGAAGTTCTATGGCGTCCTACTACAACAGGTTCAGCAGTAATGAATATCGGACTGAACCTGTCTTCTCAGTACCTTACATAGACTTCTTCGGATTAGGTAAGTAACAAATACAGGAGGTCTCTCTTCGCGGGCTGCCGTTTTCTTTAGATGGAGGACCCTGATGTCTAAACAAATAGGATGAAATCAATTGCATGACATTTGTTTGCAGATTTGTTTTGTTTAAGTTGCGTTATGTATGGTCTATCATGTATCATTGGTACCATTAATTGACTCGTAGTAATTTTCGAGTAATAGAAGTGTGTTTTTTTTGTCCTTATGCATTGTTTTTTCATTTCACATATGCATAACAAAATAGGCATCAGCACATTACTATGTCTTAATAACTACCTCTTTTTCCCTCGGTATAACATTAAATACTTTATTTTGAAATCCAAATAAATTGGATAAATACATTTTCATTCCTATTGATAAGCAAACTATGTGTTTATTTGTTTGTTTTCGTTTTTTGTTCGTTTACATAATAATACACAGTACTGAATAAGACACAGAAAAAATAATAGACATGATGCCAATATGCTTATTTGGTTTCGTTTTAGGTCTGATCACGTCAGTATGTTTACCTGTGTATAGAGGTTCAGGAGATCTGATGGGTGTGTCTTGCTCTGACGTCACGATGGCGGATCTTCTCTCAGACATAACATATTTTCACGAGGGAGACTTATCTTATGCGTTCATCATAGACCAGTATGGCCGCACACTTATGCATCCTCAACTACCCCAACTCTCATCTGTAAAAGACGACCCAATCTTTGTCCACATCGAAAATCTAGAGAGATCATCTGGTGCAGCGACTGTCATTCAAGAAATGTTGAAGCATGTCATGTCTTGATATTACGACAGGGAAACATCTTTTATGAAATTGTTTCTATGCGCAATTGAGAGTTTTATGTTCATATTAAAGTTACCGTGCCGCAATCTGCTGTTAAAAAACTGCGGTTGGAACTGAAGTTATAAAATTTAATAAATATTTTAAGTATACTGGTATGAAAAGATTTGAACTTAAGTTTATGTCAAGTAAAAACAGGCGAAGTCTTTCCCGACTGATTCTTATCTCCGTGCGCGCAAGGTTGAGGCCGTGTTTACGTGTTATCATGCCTTAGCAAATTCACGTGATGACACGAGAGCAGAATCCAACGAATGGCGACTACGTGTTCGGTAGAGCCATGTTAATGTTTATACATTATAAGTGTTTTCATTTTAATTGATGGAGATCTAATGCGTCACTTGATATGCTAAACGATTTAACGGAAATTAATAACCTTTCCTATGTAAGAAGAAAAATAAATAAAAGTCTGTTTATCCTGTTGATAAGAAAAATGAGCGAAGGTTAGCGGCACGGTGCTTTGAAGTGGTGTATTTTTACTACAGGGGGACAACTAACAAGACAAAATTCAATTCACAACGGATGATTCCCCGTGGCAGTGTATTGTATGAAGGCATTGAGACCCGTTCTGTTATATCTACCTATGCGTGGGGTTCGGTAAGTAAAATGATTGATGTAAAACAGGTACACTTTTATTATGAAAATGTAAGAAATATAGACTATCTGTTGAAACAAAATTTTATTTAACTTTCAGTTATTAAAATGAAATATTTTTGTTGAGATTTTTCTGTCTTTTCCACTAAATGTGAAAATTAATTGATTGAATTGTTGCGTTTTGTAGTTCGTTTCGGGTTGCCTTATTGCATACAAGTTTCATTTCAGATATAAATTACCAGCTGCGTCACCTACTCCCCTCACCACTGTTAGTAACTTGTTTTAATCTGGAGTTTGCTATATCAATTTAAAATGTATGTCGCACCCACAGGTGCCTAACAGTAACCTATCTATGGCGATAGTTGTTGGGGAAGGAGACACACTGGCTCGGCTCAAGCATATGACACCCAACGGTGACGTCTTTAACTACCACAGACTGGACTGGGACAACTCTCCCGGAACTTCCTTCTGCAAGCATTTCAACAGATATTCAACCAAAGGTATAACATTATAACAAAACTCAGCCAACAAAAATTATTTTTAAAATCTGTTTTGAAATTAAGATATAAATATTATTTAAATAAAATTGACTTTATTTGTGAAAAGAATATTTTTTCAAAGTCAACTAATTAACAATAAATTCTTTAAATAAATACTCTGTTTATTTGTAGATTATTCAATAACTATGTTAACACCTGGGGCATTTAAAGATCCAATTAACTACCTTAACACAGAGGAAACTAAAGCAATAGTAACAAGATATGAGAATTTTCTCCGAGGTACTACAACTATCAACCCTGGATTGAAGGTAAGTTCTCGATGTACTAAAACAATTTGAAAAATACTGTTTCCGTTGAGTAAGTCAATACCAGTCGACATGATATTTGCGCGATAGTTCTTGCTATGTATTTTAGTCGCCCATGTAGCGCTGTAATAAGGCAACGGCAGAAAACGCATGTCAAAGCTAAATTACATTACTGCTTTGTATTTTGTTTTCATTTCGGACGGTGTCTAAAATTCACAAAATAATCTTAAATGAGTGTTCGTTAAATATGATATCAATGAAACCATAGGAAATATGTTTTTAATAAAGGGATTAACCGGTCTTGAAGACAAAATAGGTATACAGGTACTTCTTTGAGCCAATGAGTAAATAATTATTTGAAGTTGATAAAATAATGACGGAAATAAAACTGACCCTACGCTCCTGTGTGAGTCAAAATGTGTGGATGTGATTTAAAAAATGTCAGAACATATAAATCGTGTGGATCATAAAAACATAAAAATCTTATCACGATACATTCACCCATTCGATCCATGTCTTTACCTATCAGACAAAAAGGCTGTGAAAACTTATAAACTGTAAGAAGTTAACCATTTTTTTTTTGTATCATGGAAATCTACACATTTTAAACAGAAAATGCTGTCGATAACGTCTAAAGATTTCTGAAGAAAAGCGTTAACATTTCTATGGCACTAAATTTATACAAACGACTAAACATATATTTTCATGGCAGGACTCTGTGACCAACTCCGTGACCTTGACCTATCAGGCAGAGCAGATGTGGAAGGCCAATCAGGAGCAGGAACAACTTGTGCTGTGGCGGTATATTGGTACCACTGATGGCATCATGCGGCTTTACCCTGGTGCGCAGCTTCCAAAGAATTCCGACCACACCCGCAGACCATGGTACGTTTCTATAGCTTTAACTTCTGGATGCCATATGAGACAGAAACTGCATACACCCCAAACGAGAGCTGCAGGATTTGTTTACAATTGTGTTAAGTTCCCGATGTCATTTTATTTCCTTATATACTTTGAGTTTTATGTTTACCCTTACGTTTTAACGGTATAGTCATCAGCTATTCTAATTTCAAGGCATAGGTAACCAATTTAATCTACTTTTTGTTTCTATATCACAAAATCTTTTAGACTGTTTACTTCTAAAGTTCATATGAAAAGGAGAATTAAAGTTTCTACGAATTCACAGAGCTAAAACACCTGTAGTAATTGAATTATTTAGGCTCGTTAATTCATTCATTGTGTGCCAAAATTTAAAGATATTATTCTGATTATCTAACCCAACACGAATTAACCTTCATTCCTCATCATAATTATTTGCAGGTTTATCAGATCTGTTGCGCTAAAAGGGAAGATAGTTTTCAGCAGTCCATACCTTGACCAGTGGTCTTTGGGCTATGTCATTACCGTCTCTACAACCATCCAGGAAAAGAGGTAAGTAAATATGTTGTCTTAAATCATTTAATAGATCAACAAAACATACATATTTTAAGTACATACTATTCATTTCCGACACATCGGAGGTCAATAAATTTGAGACGCACATATCCGTAATGTAACGAACTCGATTTGATGAATTGAGACTCTATCCGTTTACAAAGTGATAACTTATGGAACCACAAGCTTATATTTAATTCAACCAACATTGTGGTTTCGGGATATATAGATGTCATACAAATATATATTATTTTTCACTGTGAAAATGATATAGTGAACGATGTGTAGTTTTCAATTGAACGACTTCGGGGGGAAATGATATAGATACGAAAAACTAACGATACGCTAAAAAAAGACGCAATTATGAAAGGAAAGCAATTGTTACTATTTAATGACTTTGAATTCCGATTTGTTTTTGCCAAAGAACGCATGCAAAAATTCGCAATTGCATGAAAATTTTACTTTCATCGGTATTAATCTGGATGGTTTATTCGTGAAAATAGGCCTTCAATTTGTGCAGCAAGTCTCAGATCTATGCAAAGGGTCAAATGTACTATTGCACTTTTTATTCATAATAACAGAGAATAATGTTGTACTTAATCTTCAGTACTGGTAGTTCAACGCCTGTAGTTGCTGTCGCGGGGACAGACTTCCGTGTTCCTTTCATGTATCAACTTTTACTGAGCTCTTACTCTAAATGTTCAGAGACAACATACAAGTAAGTCGTTGGTGTTAATTTCTTTTCGTTGTCGATCACTCGAAACTGCTATACAATGTTGGTTTCGTAACCGCTGTTTTGCATATTTTAAAATTTGAAGAAATAACATGTTAGATCAATGGTAAAACTAAAAATGCAAAGTAACTAACGCAAATTAGATAAACACGATAAAATAAAGACATTCCTTGCGGAACGTCTTTTACACTTTATAAACCAACGCATAGTGATGCTATGGGTGTAATGTAATATTAAGACATTTTTTTCCAGTTGTCTGGTAGTAGATAGCAGCGGGCTCGTTGTTGTACACAAGGATTTTGTGGAGTTCACAGGCGAACCAATGATTGAAAATATGCATATAACACAAAAGGTAATGATTAGTGTAGATTAGACGTTATTGTCACATCTGAACATAAATAGTTAAAAATGCATCATGGCAGAATATGTAAATATGTAAATAAACACTTAGGTATGAATCATTGCATGCTATACATTGTTGTCTAATTGTGACTAATGAGGTGGTAATGTAAAAACACAAATAGATGTCATTACGGTAAAGACATGCAATTGTTTTGTTATAACCCTGATATTACAACGATACATAAATACAAATGTATATACATGTAGTTAACACAACTGGTAGTACATATATGGCTAAAATGTGTATTATGCCACTCTATGTGCTTACATACATATATATACTTTCATAATTGGTATCATGATAACTTGCTGGAGCTACTCATTAAGGCACATCTCATATTGCTGTCTTAGTATTTATGAATCGTTAAGACAGAATAAATACATCGGAACGTTTATATATATATAATCCTGTCTTGTGTTATGTACAGTTTATAATACCTATACTAAGATACATGTACTAATTCGTGTTTTAGTGTTGATACTTTTTGAGACTTGTAATTCCTTTAAATATTTACAGGAACCAACGATTGCTGAGGATTTGCTTACCAATCAACTCATGATAAAAACCAGTTGTCTAGATTTCGAGAACATCAAAGAACAGTTTTCTTACCGAGTAAGTGTCCATGTTACTCCTAGCTGCTCTTTTTCTTAGGTAATAACTATATATCCAAATTGACCGAATTTATGAAATAAAAGTGATTTGAGGTTATCTAGTGTATTTTATTGGATATGCATTAGGTAGGGCTTGGCAATAATATTGAAGCATGAATATAGGAGGAGTTTCCATGTTATATGGAATTCATGAAACGAGTCAAGAAATTTTCATTTTAGCAAGCCTCTAGCGAGCTAAACTAAAAACTTCGTGACGAGTTTCATAAATCTCATATGACATGGAAACGAATGTAAGATACTTTTTATCATTTAACTGAAGTACTGTCCTTGCATTCGTTAAAACAAACAATTACATCGTCCGTCATTTCATGAGGTGTTTTTTGTTTACATGATCGAAGCACTACTATCAAAATGTAGGTCAGATCTATCTGCGGTTTAACAAATACAGTAGTCACAAATTTCTTTTTTTAAATCACTCAAACAACATGGATAGATATTTATGTTTAATCCATTTGTGCAATGCTTTGGACGAATATAGAGCTTCATCTGAAACTTTCAGACGATTCTTAACAAAAAAAGAGCAACAAATGCACACGGTTCACACTACGTCATAGCGCACGACAATACAAAGTGTCACATTTCGTGAAAATTTTAGGTGTCAACAGCTTTACTGAGACTGACTATCACTGTCCGATTCGATTTTCCTACCTACGTCGTCTCACTGGTTTTGGAAGTGTTATGGGAGATTGTTGATAAATGTTAATGCTGAAAGGTCCGCCGCAAATGTTTCTTCCAAACACAAAATGCACATTTCGATGGAACCAACTGAACATTTTGCGTCCGCCTTATTTACTACGTAGTGCGGAGTAATTTACCATCGTGGGAAAGTGTGATGCGGTCAACCAGTCAAAATCACTCCAGGTCAACTAAGATGAGTTATGCAAAAATATGAAATGGATGTATTCACTGCATAACAGGGAGTTATATGATAAATTGTAATACGTGTAACATAATGGGCTGTAATTATAGGTACTTAATGATAAAGGATGGAACCATCTTATAATATATAAGACAGTGGGTATCAATAGAGTGCAGCACTTTGGTCAAAAGTACACTTTTGTAACACCGTGCATTGATTGACGGGGGACTGTTGAATTGAAGATAATGCTACCGGGCTATCGATCTAGTGGCAACCAAGTCAGTCATGGATGACATAGAGATAGGAACGAGAGTGTGAACTCCCCAAACCAGACAGGGGCATCTGTCATTGCCATATGGTACATCTAGTATTGTTGTTTGGAAGGGAAAAGTTAGCTTAAACGTTAGATTAGAAGTTAGTTTAAAATTGCTGCACGTGCCTCATTACTTATGTACAATGGGTGGTACCTAATCATAAATAGATAATTTTGTATAGATTGTTAAAAGTACTTCGGGAGAATTTCATAGGTAGTCTGGGAGATAGGAGTGAGAGTCCAGAGTGGAGAGATGGGGATTCGGGGTTCGGGAATGGGAGCATCTGGAGAGAGGGGCCGGGTAAGGCCTCGACGGGTGGGGCATGTGATGGCCCGGGTACAGCACCTATGCACTGTCGTTTTCCAGAAATATGTTAAAAAAAAAGAGGGCAACTACTAGATTTAAGACTGTCGCGGCCACAATGCAATGTAAATAAAACATCCACAGGTGTTGTTCAGCGTGTTATATACCATACGATTGAGGTATTATGTATATAGATCTGGTCCTTGACCAAGAAAGACGGGGTTTTTTTACCAAAAAAGTCGTTTTCTAAATTTCTCCTGACATTTCTCCTGAACGCACGTTGTATGTCATTTCGCACGAGAACACTATTTTTTCATTTATAGGTGTGTTTTCTTTTTCAAATATGTGAATTATTTCACAAAAGCAATACGAAATAGAGAGGTCATATGTTATTTTTGCTTTAAGATACTATTATATCAGCAAACTGGTGTTATTTCAAAGTACATTTTGTAATATAGTTTTGATCGGTTACGTTCGGTGAAATGAGTTCATGAATGATTGGTGTTAATTGTACTGAAAAACAGGCTTGACATTTCTATTTTAATTCTCTGTTAAATTCATGTCATGAAAAGCAGCCTTACTGTAATGTGTCAAGTTTCATTCGATGCTTTATTGATTGTATGCATGAACGTGCCATATCTCTAGTATAATTGTTTTGTCGTTTACAAAGGAGGTAATTTGCCCTTTGCACTCTTCATACATATTTTTGATGATTTGATAGATCAGTTTGTCAAGCAGCTCTGATAGGATGAGCAGTTCAGCTGGCTATGAAATACATCCGGTCGCCGATACGAACATATTTGTAATCATCAAGAGGATTCCTTCATCATCTCAGAGTTCATGTTGTACCGTGAGTTTTTTATGTCACAATTTTCAAATGGTGGAAGTTGTATGCTAGTAATTGGACCATTTTGAAAACTCTCATAGTCTGTATTTGACATGATATATGGATACTGTTGGCAAAAAATATTTCATAACTTTATACTTTTGAAAACAAAGATAACTATTAGTTATCTTTGTTTTCATTATAGAAATTTCCACATTGACATTGGAGAATTAATTCCTTTTCTGCGGTATTTTTCTTTTAGAAGAGTGGTGAGCGGGGTTATTTAATACCTTATTTAATTATCTAAAAATAAAGATTATCCATGCTCAAACTGATAGAATGCAGTTAACTTATATTTATCTTTGAAGAGAATAAATCAAATAATGAGTATTTATGCCAAATCTAGTACGAATGATATATGTCGTTTGATTGAAGCAAATAATTACATTGCATGCATGTAATTAACAACAGGTCTATTCAGACCGGTTTGGTCATACCTTTTAGGAATTTATGAACATCGTCTGCCATTATTTAGACATATTCTTGTATCTCAATTTTAAGTGTTATGTATTTCATTAAATTATTTGTTTATTTGTTTTACAGTCCTATGGCGTTTCTCCCGACAAGCGGCTGTGTGGTACAATATCCTGTGACTGCCTGTGTTATAAACAAACATTTTTCAACTATTGTTTGGACACGTATCCATTATTGAGGTATCATCCATATTCAAACTTTGTAATGCTACCCAGATAAAGGTGTTCTATAGCTATGCCAAGAAGCTTAACTGAATGCCAGCCAATTTAATGTTAGTATCATGTGTTAAATTGACAATTATGTGTTTTCATAATCAATATTTTATCTTTGTTTACAATGATTATATCCTTATAATAAGGAGCTTTTCCATTAACAGATCACACCCTCATTTCAGTTATGAGCATTTAAGATAAACGAAAACTATTTTTTCCTAATAACTTAGACTATTTTGAATCTTACTTTTAGGGCCCCTAGCATCATCGACGAGTCCTGACGAAACAAAAAAAAAACGTAAACAATAAACAACAAAATACAACAAAAGACTATATTTTTCCTTCTGTGTATATTGCCAAATTGTAAAGGTGCAATGACCTGTTTGTATTACGATGCAAGGTATTAAACTCTGCCGGTTGATTCTTTAGTCCCCGAGGTATGCTGTAGCCTTGATGGTCAGAGTTACTCTATACATATAATTCCATTCAAAATTAACCAATATTCGTTTAATTTTTTAATTCATAATTCAGGGGTTTTACGATCCCTAGCATCACCGACGAATCCTTGGACGAAACAGCTGTATAATGAAGTGAAATTCATTTTTGTCTTACTGTTTCTTATGACGTTTAAAAGGTGCAACCATCTATCTGTGTGTGAATGTGTGTGTTACATGCATCTCTCTATATGAATTTTGTCGTTTTCTTTTGCCTTTGAGTTCTATCTCATTTATGAGTTCGATTTGCATAGCCATAATTATTTCAGTATGCTCAAGGAACAAGTCAGTAGAATATAATTTAACGTCCTTAAACTTTGCAACTGTATTGTAGAGACACTGCCCCCACCTGCAGCCCACAGCCTCCCGACCTATCAACTGCGGGCCTGGCAGATACTGATCGGGTAAAACACCTGGGCATCTGTTTTGATGCTCAATGCTCAGGAAGATCCACGAAAGGGTGCGTCTGATGTTCTACATATAATTGATTCGGTTGTACTGTACTGCATTGGGTGTAAGCTAAACAAAATGTTGACAACACATTTTTTGTGTGATAGTAATTGCTATCATACACCAGATATTTCCCATTTTAAATGTTGTTAAGACCTTATTATATTTGAACCAATTATGGTTATGTGTGAATTCTTATTTTGTCGTCAAATTATCTGGTCAAAATTGTCCCAATGTACTAAAACGAACTATTTTTAACAGGAGAAATACATTTCTTCATTCAACTCCTTGACCTCTGATAAAATCATTTCATTGAAATATGATTTTCAATATCCTGTTACAGAGGATGTCACAATGTGTCGGGCTGTAGCTGGTGCTACCTAGACAATGTCAACGATACTCTAAGTAAACCATCTTGTGGAACAGTTTACACTTGTCAACATGGAGCTCTTGCAACAAGTGATCCTAACTGCTCTGGCAGTAAGTGAATTTTATTACTAATTCGACTTTTTACCTTTATAAGCGCTTTATAAAGCTTTATAAGCGCCCATCAATAGACATATGATGTTACCATGTGGGTGAGCAGTTATGGCGTGCAAAGTGTCCGCTCTATATTTTGAGCAATTTTTAACAGATGTACTAAAAACTTCATAGGAGCGTTGATTTCCTCGAAAGTTCGGTCGAGGTTGATAACGACCATTTTCTTACAGCAGTTTACGGAATTATGCTCCTTTTTCAATTTCTTAAACGGTCTCCGTTTCCTATCTCATACCTTCGTAGGAAGTTTGTACACAATGCAAGCTCGAAAGAGTTCGATAGCCACCATTATCCAACTGTAATATACGGAACGATGACACTTTATTCGATTGCCGAAACGTCGTTTGCTCAATATCTCGGGAGTATTTTTCACCCGATTAACTTAAACCACATTAGCTTGTACAATCGACATTGTCTGATCATAATTAGTGGAGTGTTATCACCTGGGTCAGTGTAGTGAGTGTAATCACATTATCTAACCGTAATTAACAGAGTTTCTCCCCATGGTTTCATTAATGCAAGCCTACATGCATTTAGTAATGTTTTGATGCACTCATTGTCTACCAGATATGTTGATTTTTTTCTCCTTTAACATTAAACATTCAAACATATTTCACATACAGTTGATTATTCAAATAATCATAAAGCAGTTTATAAAAGTAATTCAAATTATTGTCATATATAATGTGCACGTTCCTACTGTCAAGCAAATCAGTTCAAATTGCGAAAATCCTCTAATGTGTAGGTTAGTCATGACACTCACATTGTAAGTAACATTATAAATGCGTTTTTAGTTTTAGTGATATAATGACATTACATTTCAATACTCACGTGCGAACATTCGAAAGTAACCAAACCATCCTAATATATTGTTCAATCATAGATTAACGGTATAACCATTTAATTGTTTACAGATTCCTGCGGGGATGAGGATGGAGGAGGCAGTGTTGGTATCATTGCTGGTGTGAGTATTACTATCCTTATCGTATTAGCTATAGTAATAGGAACAGTATTATGGAGGCGGAAACAAGCTGGAGCTAGCAGCAGCTCTCCTAGTCAGATAAATGGTGTTGCTAACCCTGCCATGTCAACATCGCCAGCTCCATCCAATAATGCACAGCCAATGTCAACATTTGCATCATGGGAACCAGGACCGTCAGCACCCCCTATGTATCCTCCTACATATGAAGAAAGCACTTCACACCAACACTGGTAAATGCTATGTACTTGAAAAGTGTAACGACTGTTTAAATCTCTCGATCTTTGGATTTTATTTTTGTAAAGTGAAATCAAAAACCGTTGCTTTCCGACAAAGATCAGGACAAAACCAATATTAGTGAATTCAGCTGTACTCTTCTCATTTATCGTATCGATAACTTCCCAAACTTATACGGAAAAAGGTGTGATGTTTTGTTTTTATTCAGAGAAAATGTAATGGTTTCTCGCTGAATACCATAAATTATTTTTATGAAAAGTTCTTTTTACACAACCAATATGAGTTTCTTTGTGACGTTTCGATGACTAGTACGGTATGTACACTGTCACCGAAAGAACTTTTCATAATCCATACTTTCAAACCTGAAGAAAATGTTTAGGAATAACATACATATTTATTGAGTATCACACGTGTGGAAAACATATGTCTAATCTGCAAAACAAGTGTAACGTTGATGTATTCTACGGGGACACTATTATATTTTCTATGTATTCAATTCTTAAGCATTTTGACTGCAGATAAAGTACGGGGATTAGTAGTGTCATCTTTGGTGTTTTATCTTATTTAACCTAACGCTTGACAAGAAGGCTGCACGGAATTATGAATGGGCTGCTGAACGCATTTAAGCATTTTTTTTATTTTCTTGCAAGATTTGCTGACAGAATTGTTATTTATACATATAAGCTACTTTTCCAATCGTCACTCATCTGCATGTGAATTACAATCGTCACCTATGAATGTAATAAATAGAAAAATTCTTTAATTTACATTACATTGACCGAATTGTTGTGAAACGTTCTACCCAAGTTGCTTATTTCAGCTTCTTTTGAGAACAACGCTTCGTGGATATTGTCCTGTCCAGTATTAGGTAAAGAATTTAACAAAGTCAGTGATAACAGTTTAGAAGACAATGTATTAAAGAACAATAACGATGGATAAATATCACAGATGAAAATATGGTAAACAACTCCTTTCTCACTCTCTAGGATATCCATTACAGCTCATTGGGACAATGCTACGTTTTTACCATGTATATTTTAAATGGGAGTAGAATACTCGTTGGACGAATTACTAGGCTAATCAGTTCATAACTGCTATACGAGTTTCTTCCCTTTGACTGTACTCCGTTTGGAACATCCCATAATGCACTCACTCGTTGTCCCAACCAGACGTAAACAAACCTCGATCAGCTGTTGAGCACTATTGTCATCTCACTTACCCAACGGTGGATTAACTCTGCCATGATCAGAAATATGTTGTCGTAGTTGAAATATTCAGGATTGCTGCATCAGTGGTCAGTTCAAGACTTGGCCACGGCCAAAATACGATCGGCTATTTATACATAAAACGCACGTGATCAACGGTAAAATACTAGTCAATCAGAAGCCTTGTTTTGCACGTTGTCCGTGACATTCATAGATTCCGCGAAAGTGTAAACAATGAGGTACCGGCAGATTTGTCCGTTGGATAAGATGAATTACAGGAAAACCTGTTGAATTACAATACAACTAATGGATTCTAGATATGAAGAAACGTTCGTACTAACATGAGAGCTATACTTCGATACATATGACTTAGAAAGGTAAGAAATACAAGTAATAATTCTCAAGTGTTCTTGACCATGCTACAATGCAAATGGTGGATATAATGTAAACAGTCGATCTCGCACGATCTCTTCTCACTCTCTTCACCGTAACTTAATATTCATAATGATTCGATACAAGGCATACAAATGAATAATAACGCTGGCTGTGGTTCGCAACATTGCCCCCAACCACGTAAAACATTCGTCCCGAATGTTAGATACATCAATAGTAAATATTTATAGTCAGGAACGCGCACTTGCTGGTTTTACATTTGGCTGATAATATGTACACCGGTCTTTACATCAACAAGTAAGTATGTTCATGAAGAGTAGTACCATAAAAAAATATCGCTGCTATATATACGTGTTAATGATAAAAAATAAAAATAAATAACCATTCACACTTCACACTGTCCTGGTAAACATTTTCCATGCTAACAATCAGTTAGTTGCTAACTTTATCTTTAATAAAAAAAAATGCATATTTTATATACAAATCATATGTACTGTTAAACATTTAACAGTATGATATTACTTTAAACAAAACAATAAGCAATATTATAACAAACAATGAACTGATATTCATATCATTAATTCTAATACTTACAACATCTTGTACCTTCCAATCTATATTGACACTAGTAATTCTCATTATATTTTCAGGTCAAAATATTTGGACTCGCAAATACTTTGGTAATGGGAATCCTGAAATATCCAGGTTAAGTATACTGAAAATGTTCGTAAATATATTTCAGTCTTATTCATAGGACAACAACATATTTGCAAATATATAAATATAAATATTTTATAAGCCAAGTGCATATATGTAGGTATTTATATGCGACTCCATATATCACTGAAGATGTCCATAACTTCTGTCATAATCACGTATTGGCAGTCAAACTGTCCATATTCACTTGCCCTTTATAATGTACACAATGTTCACAATGTCCATATATCACTGAAGATGTTCATATACTAGGCAACACTAAAATTCAGGATAAGCGATCATTATCTGTTGAGCAGCCTTCTGTTCCAGAATGTGTTTTAATTCATCTAACTCAAAAAACTCCGCCTCTATAATTAGTTTTCGTAGAACCCACAGGTTGTTTGATAAATTCCGTAGTGTAATATCCGCTCCATTCCTCAAGAACTCCAAAACATGTTCAAACAGTTTTCCATTTCTATCAATAAAATATGTATAGATATTGTCCACTTGATATGGTTTCATGCATGACGTTGGACTGACCATCTTGGCGAGGATTGATGAAGGATCACTCTGACGAGTTGAGGCACTGGTTTCGTACCTTCTTCCCCCCACATTCAAGATGAGCCTCTGGCTGTGGGAAAGGGCCATTCCTTGTAATTTGATATTCCCTTCATTATTGACTGGCTTAATGTGTTTGTCCTCTGTTGTTGATATTTCTTCCTTCTCCTCTTCCTTCCATTCCATCCTCTTCTCTGCTGACACATTGTTGACTGTTCCTTCTTTCTTCTTGGTTTCTAACTTTTCCTCCTTCTCCTCTGCTGACACATTGTTGACTGTTCCTTCTTTCTTCTTGGTTACTAACTTTCCCTCCTTCTCCTCTGCTGTCACATTGTTGACTATTTCTTCTTTCTTCTTGTTTACTAACTTCCTCTCCTTCTTCTTCTTTGCTTTCAACTTCTGTACTTCTTTCTTCTCAGTATCTTCCTCTTCTCTTTTTCTATTCTTTGCTGGTTTCGTAACTACCTTTTCTTCTTCTGTGAAGTCTCCGTCCGTGAAGATGGATATTGCGAGGTCCTCTTCCAGTAATGATACTGGTGTATAGCGGTCCCCGCTCTCATCTGGTACTGGTTCACATCCCTTCTTTGCCTCCTCCATTGGTTCTACACTTGGTAATTTTACTGTATTATTTTCAACCCCCGGAACTTCTGTAAATTTTGTGCTCCTTTTTAGTTTGTCATCCTCTTTGAAGTTAACTCTTTCTTGTTTCATAAAGGGCAATGCATGACGTTTCCTGTCTTTCTGGAATCTCATGAACTCCTCATGCTCCTCATCTGTATATGTCATGGTTGGTTTTTTTACAATATCAATTTTTCCCTCTTTACATCCATGTTTCTGTCCCTGCCTCAGTAGTATCATTTTACAGCTGGAGCACCGGAAGCAGAATCCAGAGTGAGTAGATGTCAGATGGCACTCACAATGTGACAGTTGAGTGAACTCAAGATCGTCGCATATCCCACACTTGAACCTCTGGACCTGTAATTACAGAAAAAAATGACTGTAAGTTTGGTGTCACACATTGACACATTATTACATGTATCAAACATACCTAATTTATCCATTTGGGTTTATTATTTCCCTTGTATGGTTTGAATAGGTCATGATGTATCACCTTCGTCTTACATTTTGGTCCTTTCTTTATTCTGTATATTACATCATTTATTCTCTGCGTGACTAGATATGGGCCTTGCCATGGACAATGGAGTTTTTTTCCCAATCCTTTATATTGGGGATAGTACAACCATACCACATCACCGGGTTCATACAGTGTTTCATATGTTTTCTTACTGTATTCTTTTAGCATGTTTTTAGTGGAAATGTTTAGTCGTCCCCTCGCAAACCGATGTATAACTTCCAATTTTTGTGCTAACTGGTAAGCATAATCAGATGCTATATCTTCATTTTCAGGTTCCACCCGTCCCAAGACAAGATCAACGGGGAGATTGACTGGCCGACCAAAAACCATTTCACAGGGAGAGACACCTGTTGATTCATGGATTGAAGCTCGTTACGCCATCATTAATGGGTATATATATTCGTCCCAGTTTGTTTTATTTTTATCAACGAAAGCTGACAACATGTTTTCTATAGTACGGTTGGCTCGTTCTACCATACCGTCTGATTGTGGCCTGTAGGGAGTGGTTCGAGTTTTCTCGATCCCTAGTAATTTGCAAATTTCTCTAAACACTTCAGACTCAAAGGCAGGCCCCTGGTCTGAATGTATTTGCATGGGTACACCAAAAATTGTGATGATTCGTTCAACTATTTTTTGTGCGATTGTAACAGCTGTCTGATTCTTCATGGGAATTGCCTCAACCCATTTTGTGAAGTAATCCCCAATTACAAGAAGATATGCATTGCCCTTCTTGCTTAAAGGAAGGGGGCCTAATACATCAATGGCTAATCTTTCCATGGGGGCTCCAACATTGTAAGTCTTCAGTGCTGCTTTACCTTTCCGTTGAGGTGTTTTCCTAGAAGCACATTTATCACAGACTTTACACCAGTGTTTGATGTCTTTAGACATCCTAAACCAAAAATACCTATCTCGTATCTTTGATAAAGTTTTCTTGCTACCAAGATGACCTCCGGTCACATTGCCATGTAACTCTGTCATAACGTCATTTATCAGGCACTCTGGTAGAATTATTTGAGTTTTGGGTTGTATACCCTCCCATATATGACATAATATATTGTCAACAATACATAATGAGTCAAATCTGACCCAGTAGTATTTACATGTTTCACTCAGATGAGAAATTTGTCTCCACTCTGGTTTCTTGCCAGCTTTAACCCAGTCTATAACAGTGACTAAGTTATGATCTTTATTCTGAGACTCTATCATCTTTTGGTTTGTACTCTTCCCTGGTTCTAAGTTCAGTTTCTGTTTTTCAGCTACTGTGCCAGGTGATACATCTGAAGTTTGTGCTGGACTGGAGCGTGTTAACACCATACAATATTTAGGTAAGATTGCAGTATCTGCATTGATTCTGTCTACTTCAATTTCATTGCATTTCCCTTCTTTAAGAGTGCAGTGCTTACAATCTTCACTGAGACATGGTCTTCGGGATAGTGCATCAGCATTCCCATGAGACCGGCCTGCTCTGTGTTCAATCTTGAAATGGTATGAGGACATAAACTCAAACCATCTGGCGATCTGGCCCTCTGGATTTTTGAAGTTAAACAGCCAGGTTAAAGCACCATGATCAGTCCTGATTCTAAAGAATTGCCCATATAGGTAGTGATGGAAATGTTTCATTGAGCTTATGATGGCTAACAGTTCCCTACGGATGACACAATATCGCCTTTCGGTTGCACTGAAAGTCTTGCTATAGAAACATATCGCTCTTTCCACACCATCTTGCATCTGGGACAAGAATGCACCTAGTCCAGAGTTTGAGGCATCAGTTTCAAGGATGAATAATCCTTCACTGTTGGGGTAGGCCAGTATTGGTGAGCTTGTGAGAGCTCTCTTCAGTTGGTCAAATGCTACTTGACAATTTGTTGTCCATTCAAACTTGTTATTAAGTTCGGTTAATTTATGCAATGGTTTGGCAATATCTGCAAATTTGTGTACAAATTTTCTATAATATGAGCACAAACCTAAGAAACTAATATCTTTAACATTTTTGGGTATCGGCCATTCTCTGACTGCTTTTATCTTTTCGGGGTCTGTCCCAATCCCATTTTCATTAACAATATGTCCAAGAAACGAGACTTCTTTGCATAGTAACTTGCATTTCTTTGGACTCATTTTCAGATTTGCTTGCTGCAGTCTTGTGAAAACTTTCCTAAGATTTGTGAGGTGCTCATCGAAGGATTTGGACAGGATGATGATGTCATCAAGGTACACCATACATATATCAAAAGAAAGTTTTGCCAATACTCTCTCCATCATTCTCTCAAATGTGGCTGGAGCATTGCACAAACCAAAAGGCATGGTAATGAACTGCCATAGACCAGCCCCAGGAACTGAAAAAGCTGTTTTTGGTCTGTCCTCTGGTGCCAGCTTAACCTGCCAATATCCACTCTTCAAATCAAGAGTGGATAACCATTGGGATCCAGATAAGGCATCTAGCGTTGTATCTATTCTGGGAAGAGGATGGCTATCCTTGATAGTCACATCATTCAACTTCCGGTAATCAATGCAAAATCTAATACTATTGTCTCGTTTCTTAACGATTACAATCGGAGAGCTCCAAGGACTTTCAGATTTTTCTATTACGCCTTTCTCTACCATATCCTCAATCTCCTTTTCTACCTCTTTAACTTGAGTTAGGGGTACTCGTCTGGGATGTTGTCGAATGGGACGTGCATTTCCTGTATTAATTTTGTGTTCCACAAGATCCGTTAACCCTAAGTCATTGGGTGATTGTGAGAAACTATCTTGAAATTCTACAAGTAGATTCTGTACAGCTTGCTTTTGTGTGTCGGACAAGTTTTTACATGCTCCATGATACATTTCAGTCAATGGGTCAGGTAACGGATTAGGTGTTGATCTGGGTTGAACTGTTATAATATCATTTACTACCTCAGTTTGTATGTAATTATCCTCCACTTCTTCTATGGTAGCTATTATGCTACCTCTGTGGATAACTACATCTTTTTCACTGAGATTTACCAACCTCATGGGTATTTTACTCAGACAAGGTTCTACCACAGTTTTGGCTAGAAGCACTTCATGTCTCTTCATGGATTTCTTTGCCGGTTCAACCAACGCTGTTTTTCCTCTAAAAATAGGATCTACAGCTCTCCCAGGAACGATCAATTCTGTATTTGAAGGGATCACCACATCATCCATCATAGCAATTCTACAGCAAGCAGGTTCTCCCACCTTTTGATATTTTATGCAAGGGATATTCTCTCCCTTTATTGTCATGCATAAATTCTTGACCAATATATCACAGGAATGCGCCCTCATAAAATCAAGCCCCAAAATACCATTGTACCTTACGTCTGCTACTAGTACCTTCTGCAATAATCTGTGACGTCCCAGAACTATATCCAATGTACATTCTCCAGCAAAAGGTATACTATCCCCGGTAGCTGCGATGAGTTTCAGATTAACTGGTTTGGTTTCTGGACGGTTACTATCATTTAAGCTTCGTAAAAAAATTGTGCTTAATATAGTGACATTTGCCCCTGTATCAACTAGTAAGGAAACCTCCTTATTCTGAATTGTAGCAGCAATAAAAATCCCATCTCCTTCCCCGTAAGCATTATTTACTGTAATCTCTTGTGCTGTTTCCATCACCTTGTCGTTGGAATTATCATTCCCTACCGTAGGTGGTTTTTCATTGCCCGTTTTGAGTCTGTTACTCTCTACTGTCGACTTCCGACCCCCGAACTCGACATATTGGGGTTTCCCTGGTTCTGTGGTTTGGATTGATACCACCCCTCTGTAACATTTCTGTAAGGATTTCGATTTCCTTGGTTATTACGCCCAAACTGGTTATGATTATGCTGGGGTTGGCTCGGGTTTTGTCCATTGATCGAGCGCATCAATTGTTTTGTGGTTCGTTCTAACCTTAAGATGCTTCTTGTCAACGTTCCCACATATATTTGCTCGCCATCATCTTTAACCGATTGAGGCTTGAACAGCATATTCTGCTTCCCATTATCCTGGTTTTGATAAAAGTTTCCCGGACTATGGTGAACGTTATTCCCCGTCCCCTTTACTACAGAATTTACTGCCTCACCAAATGATTTACCACCAACATTTCTTTGCTGATCTGCCAATCGATGAGTTTCTAACCTGACTGCTAACATCTCTGCCTCATTGATATCCCTTGGCCTTGATTCTCTCAGTCTTAGTCTCATATCTGGATCAGGCAGAGCATCTATGAAATGATCAAGAGCTAATACACTGGTTATGCTAGAATCTGCTTTCGGATATGCTTGTCGGGTGAGTTTTTTCACTGACTGAGCAAGTTCGGGTAATGATTCATTTGATCCTCTGACTTTTGTCTTGAGTCGAGCCCTAAACATTTCTGATCGTTCAACTGAACCATATCTAATGTTCAAGCTTTGTACCAGGGAATCATAATCCCTCCGCTGACTTTCATTGAGTTCATTGAGCAGAGCCCTGGCTCCCCCTTTCAGACTGCTTGCCAAATAGAGTGACTTTGTTCTATAATCCCATTGATTGAGGTCAACCAGGATCTCAAACTGAGCCAGATACTCATCAAAATCCTCCCCTCCATCATAGGTTTGGGGTTTAATTTGAATGTTTCTGCTTGTCTGAGTGTTGTGTATCTGTGTGAACCTGGGTGCGTGGTTGTCGTTCATATTATCCCGACCCAAAGGTGTACTAAACATTTCTCCTTGTCCCACTTGCCTTTCAAAAGAGAGAACTGGAGGATTGGGATAATCATAATGGGAATGGGTGGACTGTTTTCCATGGGGAGGATTGGAACGGTCAATTCTTCCTTCTAAATATTCCACATAATTTCTTAATTTTTCAGATTCACCTTTTATCCCTGATAACTGTTCATTTATT